GTAAGGGACGCTGGACCCGTTTTCCAGCAGGTGCTGCTCCCCACCAATAGATGGAGCCCCCCCCAGGTGCTAGTGGTGTCTGCTTTTATCAGCACCACTAGCACCAACAAAAAAAAAAGAAAAAAAAAAAAAAAGAAAAAGATTCAGAGAGTGAATAATCAATATGAACTCGGGTGAAATCCAGGGAGAGCAGAGAGAACAGACGGTTTCTGTAAGCTGCAAAGTACGGCCAAGCCAGGCAGGGTGGCCAGCAGGACAGGCCATCTAAAGAGAGGCGCCCAGATGCGATCATGCAGTGAAGTCTCCGATGTTTCAATGAACCAAAGCCTCCAACACATTTCCATGAACTGACTAAGAGGTCGCCAAAACAACAGAGGTGCTGGTGATCGAGCGAGGTGTATATGCAGTATCTGAATATCACGCATTCCATTCCGTTCTATTTTCATTTCATTCTGTTAGGAAACCCAATGGCACAAAAAAAAGCCACCATGACATTAAAAAAACAAAACAATGCCAAGGGCCGCCAAATGCTCAACTGCGCTTCACAGTGCAGGACTAAGTGTACAGTCTGGCTTGGTCCCACAAGGGGCAATTCTACAATTTCACGGGAGTGGTGTATCCTTTCCTGCACAAACTGAGGACACGTTGGGGGGGGGAACAACCAAAGCGAGGGGAAGGGGGTGTCAGAGGAAGAAAAAACCTGTACACAGGCAATCAATCACGGTCAGAATAGACTGAGCCGCAGAACCGATTCATAGAAACTTCTATGAATGCCACTCTAGCAGGGGAATATGTGGGACTGCTTCAGTCCAGAAAGGCATTTTGAAGGGGTTCCATACCGGTCTTTTAAGGACTTGTCTCTCCAAAGACAGAGTCCAAACAATTCAGGCTCCTACTTGCAGAAACTACGAGTGCCTGACCTGCACAATGGCCATGTGCTTACTGATGCGAAAGACAATGCAAAGCGCACAAAAGCACATCATTTGTGTCTTCAACAAGGAGGGGAACTTTCTTGACTGTCAAAGCTCAACGGCTTCACTGAACAATTGACTGCGAGGACGCAGCAGGGAGCAGAGGGAAGAGGAGACGGCAGAAAATCCCAGCGGGGCCAAGCAAGGGCATAGCTGGTGTTCATGGCTACATGTGTTTGAATTGGTGTTGCAAACACGCTCATATGCGGATGCCCACGTTTGTGTGTGAAAAAAAAAAAAAAAAAAAAAAAAGGATTTTTAGGATTTTTCAGGGCTGGCCAAAACAGTGAACTCCAAGACCCCAACAAACACCAAACTTGGCACACACAGACCTTGACCAAAAATAAAACAGGGCAACAACAAAAAAACCGAAAAAAACTGGAAAAAATGATCTCCAATGCACTTTTTAGGGTTGGGGGTGTTACCTTGGGGCTGAATAGTGGGGGTCCGGTGAGATGCGTCGTACAAAGCACTTGATCGCCGACACAGACTTTCATTCGGCTACCCCATTTCCAACTTCCGATTTGATAATGGCTTCAATATCTCTCAATTTTCGAATGGTAAAAAAATAAAGTGCGAATCGGCAATCTATTTGCTATGCAAGCCTTTTGTTCCCTCCGTTTTCCATTCTACCCCCGACAGGGTTACGGCATTACGCCAACCGTCTTCCCCCGAACATAACACACGCTGAAAATGAACGTATACAAGGTATGTTTCCAGCCGGTTACAGTCAAAATGAGAGTGCGCTGTGTTCGGGACAAGCACCAGGTCCAGAAGCATTCACACAGTTGCACCGGCCGGTTACAGTCAAAATGAGAGTGCACTGTGCCCTCTGTGTTTTTCCTTGTGATATAGGGCCTAGTTGCACCACTCGCCGTCCGCCAACATTTTAAACACACTGGACCAGAAACTTGTCCAGCGTCCCAACATCTGGACCAGGAACTTGTCCAGGAACATCTGGACAAGTTCCTGGTCCAGATGTTGGGACGCTGGACCTGGACCTGGTTTCCAGCAGGTGACACCCACCACCACGAGATGGGTCCTTCCCCCCACAACAGTAGTGGTGTCTGCTCTCACCAGCACCACTAACGCATAGCAGGGCTGTTTTTTTTTTTTTTTTTTTTTTTTTTTTTTTTGAAAGGATCTTGTCCAGATGCATTCCGAATCTTGGCGAATGGCAAGTGGCGAAGCTACCGTCTTCACCCGAATAGAACGCCCCGTCATTATCGCTGTATTTGGGGCGATTTTCAGTCCAGATGCGGCGATAATGATCGGCCGTTCCATTTGGGTGAAGATGGTAGGCCCATAGTGCTCACCACATTTGCCCGGTCAATTCTGAGTATGTACTATGTAGTATGTACTGTGTGAATGCATCTGGACCTGGTGCTTGTCCAGAATCTCGAGATGCATTCCGAATCTTTTGGCGGATGGCGAGTGGTGCAACTGTAGGCCCATACCGCTTGCCAAATTTGCCCGGGCAATTTTGGGTAATCTAGTATGTGGCAATGTGCTGTGTGGTTCTACGTATTTTCAGGTCACCACCAAAAAAGCTACGGCCGCCCTCGCCTTTTCTGTTTTAACTGTCTGATAAAATGGTCAAGAAAACCTGTCCAGACTGAAAGAAAAGGGAAATTCTGCAGATAGACTGAAATAGTATGAACACAAATATAGCCCTGAAAGTTCACACCATATATGCTAAAATACCCCTAAAAGATGAGTATCGCACGGGATACTCCTCTGCATTTTCAAGAGTTTGTGAAATGCCCTTTTGAATTTAAATCTTTGTGATCTACCCCTGTCAGTGTGTTGTGCAAGTTTGAATTCTGCCCCTGACACGGGTATAACACAAATTCGGCAACCCCTTCACAGGGGTATAGCAGGAAGATTTACATCCAAAGGGGCATTTCACAAACTTTTGAAATCTCAGAGAGGGGTATTCCACTCTATCCACATCTTTAGGGGTATTTTAGCATATACTGGTTGTTTAATGCCGCAGTCGTCCTATTTTTTTTTAATAAGGGGGGGGGGGGGGGGGGGGGGGGGGGGGGGGGGGGGGGAGAGACGAGAATTGTCCTCCTGAAGCCAATCTGGAGGCTGTCACTGCTTTGAACATGGATTTACCGTGTCAGTGGCACCTCCCAGCCTCTTTCTTCTGATGCCGACATTTGCCCCCGTCTCTCACATTTGGAATCCTGGCAACAATAAGCCTACAAATGTGTCGACGAAGATCTTCATTGCTGCTGATTGAACCCTGATTCTTTGCTCCAATGCTTTCTCTATGGATTCATTAAAAATTTCATTTAAACCAGTTAAAACCACTAGTACACGGCCCCAGCCTTGCAGTCCGAACATTGTCGCCACAAGAAAACGACTCGGAGGCCGAAACGTCAAATGCTGGGCCCGCCGTTGATAACTCGGATCGGCGGTCACATTTTCGTTCTGCGCTTCCAGAATTCTAGATGTCAGGCCCGCGGCCCAGGTGCCCATATACATACTGGTGGTTTAAACCGCCAGCTCAACCAGAAGCCTAAGTTAACGAAGCTGCCTTTCCCGGCAGCTCACCACCCTGCAACTGCGCCTTTTCCAAAGTCGTGGCCTGCCGCTTTCTGCTACAAGTCCAGACGCGAAGCCAAGTGCTAACATTATTTATCTATGGCAACCAAGTGCATCTACATTTTATGATTTTACGCTATGGTAACTTGGTAAGTGCATTTTACACTATGTAGTGCTTACTACATACGCGAGTTACCATAGATAGTGCTTTTCAGTGGGGGGGTATATCTACAATGATAGCACAAAATGCACTCACCATAACATTACATATGGCAAATGCAGCTACAACAATAGCGTAAAAAATGCACTTACCACTGCAAAATGTGATGGCATATCTACGACAAGATATACCTATCTCCCTCTGCGTCAGTGGATCACATTTTACCCTATGTAGAATGTACGCGAGTGTTACCTGCGCGCCTTGGAAAAAAAATCCTGCTTTGAGCCTCTTGGAGCCAGTAGTCACTCAGGCCCTGCCTGCCAAATGCCTAGGTTCAATGAACTTCAACCCCTCTGCGAGTTTCTTGCAGCGGGGGACTGTGAGAAACAAAAAAAAAACTTTCTCTGTTCTATCCCTTTCTTTGCGGATTCATTTTTGAATATCCATTATATGAATTTGTACCATATTGAGACTTGATACGTACCATTGATATATCTCCCTGAGTCCCCGGAATAAATATAAATCCTACTTTATTTATATGGGGGGTCAGAGGGGACAAATTAATACAAGTTGAGGTTCAGAATGCCGAACGACAAAAAACTTCTGCTTGCGAGTAATTCATACGGGGAGCGAGAGACGAGGGAGGTACTCGTAATCGGGAGCTCTGGGGAAGTTGGGAAACCCTTTTTTTTTGCAAAGTTTTCCTAGCCGTCGTTGCAGGTAAAGTCGAGAGGACCTCCAATTTCTGTTGTGTGTTAATAATATCATGAAAAAGCCGACAACAGGGTCCAGCGCGCTCATTCCATTTCTAAATCTCCTTCTCAGAAACCGGGCCCCAAACACAATACAGACTGTTCCGTTCAATCGCTTCATTTTAACCAGCAACAGCACGAAAGATACACTCACTCATTTGAATCCATGACTCCCTTGTTATCGTCCCAGCAATGAGAATCGTATCGTAATTTTGGAGAAAGAAATCAATTCTCTTCACGAATCAAATTGTACAAGATAGAATTACAAAGTGCCACAGTCGTAACTTGCAAAGATGGAAAATTGAAATGATGGAACATTGGAACATGACTCTAGGGATCTGAACGGCCAGCAAAGAAGGGAAAGAGGGGGTGGTGGTGGTGGTGGTGGTACAGTCTCTTTGGCTTTTCCATCTCTCTGCCTGCTTTTCTCCTCCCTCTTCCAACATCCTCTCTCTCTCTCTCTCTCTCTCTCTCTCTCTCTCTCTCTCTCTCTCTCTCTCTCTCTCTCTGTGTGTGTGTGTGTGTAAGTGCTGTCTCTTATACACATCTAGATGTGTATAAGAG